TTGATATTTTGACTCTTCCTTTCTGAACTAGAAAATAGTTTACTTTCACTTGCAAACTTCAGAATACACACTTTATGAAGTCTGAGGGTTTTCTGTGTGACGAAGTGGAGATGTCAGTTGCCTGTTAGCCGTTCAGATAGTAAGTCATGATTTTGTGAAGCTTTAGGGGAGGAAATGCACGTTGGTTCTCTCTCATTTGACCTCTGAACCACACTGGGTGCTGCAGAGGGCAGGCACTCTCTTCTCCCCAGGCAGAAGCTCCTGTGAGGGAGGCACTGGCTACCAGACAATGTGGCCACACTCCCCAGCCCTTCTCCAACCCTAGTGTGCTCCTGAAAAGCCCTTCCCTCCTCCCTGGCTCTCCTTTCCTTGTGGTCCTGCCCAGCCTCCTCTCATTTGGGGCACTGGCAGCAGAGTACCATGAAAGCCTCATGATTCTCCACTTTCTTCCTGCACATGAAATAAGTACTTTTTAGTTTAGTGGTTGGTGGCACTACATTCCACAGAGCCAGAAAAGTATCAAAAGTAATTGACATGGTGTATATAGGTTCCAGAAATGCCATGTTTGTGAACACACTAAACCTGTGCATATATGCAGGTGTGTGTGTGTGTGTGTGTGTGTGTGTGTGTGTGTGTGTATGCACACTTGCCCATGTTTTAAGAGTTATGTGTATAGGTGTTTTGCTTGTATGTATGCCTGTGTACTATGTGTATGCCTGGTGCCCATAGAGGCCAGAAGAGGGCATCAGATCCCCTGGGACTGGAGTTAAAAATAGTTATGAGCTGCCATATGGGTGCTAGGATTCAAACCCAGGTCCTCTGGAAGAGTAGCCATTAGTGCTCTTAGCCACTGAGCCATCTCTCCAGCCCTGTCATTGTGTCTTTACAGCCTATGGAAATGGGGTCAGTGCTGGACTGCTCTGACACTGCTTTTGAGTTCCTTCTCCCATGGGCGTTTCCCATGTGACCACGAGCAGCACTTTACTCCTGCTAGCACTGGTGTCCTCCTGACAAGTTATGGGAGCAGATCACCGGCAGACATGCTTCCTCGTAAACTGTGGCTCGGTCTGCCTGTTCCCTTCCTATTCTGTCATTGTTTGAACTCATGTCATTGCGTGAAGGGAGGGACTTGATGTCCTCAAATAAGGTATGTTCATTGAGATTTGGCTTTATACACAACGCAAACAGTTAGTTGGATGGTCTAAATGGATCCTGGTTTAGCATCAAGGATCTCACCAAGAACTTGCTGGAGTATGCACAGAGCCCTGAGTTCAATCCTTAACTACCTTATAAAATTGGGCCTAATGGCATGTGTCTTTAATCCCAGTACTTGAGAGGAACAGGCAGAAGGATCAGAAGTTCAACATCACCTCAGCTACATATTTATGTAATGCCTGTCATGGGTAGACAAAATGAACATCAGAACTGTGTTAAATATGTCATGTGGGGAAAAGGAGGAATAATACAGTTGAAAGGATTTATTTGTTCTATATTGTAAAGTGCAATGCATTAATCATCAGATATTCTGTCTGTAGATAAGGAAATACAGGTTATGAGAAAGCTCTGGCAGTGTACCACCAGGACAACTAAGAGACAGCTCGCCCCTGCAGTATCCCATGGGTCCCTCACTGCAGAGAACAAGGCTAGCTGTAGACTCACTGAGAGGCTCACAAAAGACCCTACAGTGAGTATTCTGGCAGTAGCAGAGAAGAGGAGATAGGGCCAAGACAGAGCCCAGTGGACGCACTGGAGAACTCAGCCACACTCAGTCACCAGCCAGAAAGCCACTGGATTCTGGCCTTGATCCCTTTTGCTGGGCTCTATGCCTAATTCACTTGGGTTGGCGCATCCGCTCATCCTTGCTCTATAGACTACTTAGCAAATTAGAAAGGTTTTACTAAAGACTGAACTACCAAGCAACACACAAAAAAGCACTCTTTTCCATGGAAAGATAAATAAGAAGTGCTTAAATCACATTTTTAAAACTGAGAAGACTAAGGAAACACAAACTTTAAAAGCTGATAACTAATAAGGAATAGGGTAGGGAGAAAAGAGAAAAAATTGGTAACATCAAAGAAAAGAAAAAGGTGAAGGTCACGAGAGACAGAAAGGGGAGGAAGAGCAGATGAGGGAAGGCTGAAGAAATTGATGTGCAGAGGGTGGAATGTAGGGAAGAGGAGTCAGTGGAGTCAGGCCCTGCCTGAGTGTGTTCTGAAGGTCAGAGCTGGACTCACAACTAGGAAGAGCTCCCTCGAGTGTCAGGGTGAATCACTGAAAGGGTCCTCGGCAGCAGGATGTTACCAGGATGACTATGCAAACTCATCCAGCAGGGCCAGCTATTGACAAAAAGCCAGAAACATACAAAAGAAGAGAAAGAAATGGTACTACTTAGAATACATCACCTAACATGTGCACAGAAAATCTAGAGTGAGTCTAGCAAGGAATCAGGGTTCAAGATCGACACAATCAATTGTATCTCTATGTACAATAAAAAAGAGAAATGGAAAACATTAAAGATCATGTTTTATGGAAACATTAAAAACTCAAAGAGACTTCCTGGGCCTCATTTGTTTATAGCAAAGGCCTCTGCAACACAACCCTACGGTGGACAGCCGAGGTTTACAAAGGCTGCAGTAGCAGACCAGACATTCTAAGTGTTGACACAGAATATGTCATTTAACCTTCACAGTAAGGATGAACTGAGGCAGTCTATGTAGAACCCTAGCAAACTGCTTTGTATGTAATAAATTCTTACTAAACTTCAGATCTCCAAAGCCAGTCATGATTTTTAGGGAAAACTCGGAAATCAGTCGTGAGTGGAACTAAGCTGCTGTTTACTCAGCTCAGCATTTGTAGAATCAACAGTCCCACAGCATTGCTTTGAAATTTCAATTAGCTCATTATTTCCTGTGTTCACCCAGATGTTGCTCTTGGGTCTAGGAATAAAGGAATAAAGTGAGTAAACAAAAATAGACCAAAGTTTGTGCTTTGATGGAGTTTAGTTTCATAGGGGAACAGTATCTGATCACTGTATCTTGGATGTGCCATGAGGTTGAAAGGACCAGTTTTATGGGAGCAACAAGTGGGTGGGGATATGGTCTGGGCTAGAGGATGAAAGAACCTTTGTCACACACACACACACACACACACACACACACACACACACACACACACACACAC